ACCGTTCCGAGAAATAAAGATCGGCACTATTTCTCCGAACGTTCGGAGAAATAGTCACTTCGTTTTTTTTATTCAGACTCGAGTCCGAATATGAAAAAATGTTATTCGGACGGACTCGAGTCCGAATAACGACGGCCATCTAGAAATTGCAATCATTGCTTTACTTTGGCTTTGCATGATGTTAATATTACTGTTACCTCACCCATGAGTCTTTTATTTCGAAGTGACTATTTCTCCGAACGTTTCCGATCTCGAGAATTTTGGTTGCGAGATTTAGGCGTCATCCTTTCATTCTGCCATTCTGCGAGGACTGGGAAAAAGCATTTTTTGCATCGAATTGAATTTCTAGAGCTAGAGATTTTTAAATGTCTGAATATTCAGGTACTTCAGTTGTGGTTGAGGCAACGTTCTGGACTATTCTTCATTAAAAAATACCTTCAAAAGGTAATGCGAGAAAACAAGACTGCTCGACCTTGGCAGTAACCTATTTTGCATTTATTCACCCAGCAAAAACTAAAATCCTTTTTATATGTAAAAAGAAATCCCTCCTTGCCCCTCCCCCGTTCACACGTTACACAGACACACACATACACATGCATCTCACACACACACACACACACGCACGGGCCACTTCATTCGCTCAGGCCTATTATCAACAAACCTCGAGAACGGAAACCGTTCGGAGAAATCTAATAGAGTTCAAGTTTATTTTCCAGAATTGTCGGAGAAATAGAGCCGGCCCTTTTATTTTGGGATTGAAGAACTGTCTTTTTCTCCCAAATACAGGTATAGCAAACGGCTGTGAGCAGGGAAGAACGCTGCAGCAATGGGGCGCCGCAAAGGCCAGATTGCCGCGATGGCAGGCAGTCAGCTTGTGAAAGACAAACATCGCAGATCGGGACACAGAGGTGGCGGCAATGACTCCTTCGTAAGTTGATCATGTGCAGATACAGTGGAAACTGTCCAAGGTTGCCACTCATTGTCGAGGAGAGAAGTTTTTTTTGTTTTGTTTTAACCCACTGAGCCCTAGCCACCGATACTCTGGGGAGCGAATCCCTATCCCCAAACGGGCACACCTGGGACAAAACGTGCACATGCTTCCTTGTATCTCCTCGTGCCCACTTTGGACGACTTTCATGTGCACAAAATATTTCATTAAATTATAGAATCTCTGCACATTATCTATTGATACCTTATGAATACGTAGTCAACACAGTGCAGACTGTAACGCTCGAATGACCTTATGCGGTTGCTCGTCTCCAAAGCGGGAAGTCCGGGTTTGGGCCTCAGTTCGGACACATTTTTTTTCGCCCCCTCCTGCCCACCCAGCAGTAATGGGTACCTGACTTCGAGTTGGGGAAGTAAAGGCGGCGAGGAAAGGAACTGGCCACCCTACCACAATATGCCGAAGGCCCTGGAAGTTGTCTCACTAACAGGGCAATCCCCAATGTCCGGATCGGATGCGGGAACAATTTTTTTAGTGATCTGAGTCTTTCTGCTAGGATGTATCTCATCCCAGGATGGCTCTGACAGATTGTGTTGAAGCTTGCCTCCTAAGTTATCTAAAATGTGTTGATGGGGGGGTAAAAAAAACCCACTTAAATTTAAAACAAAAAATGTTTTTGTAGACTTAACGTTTTACCCAGTAGATGTGAATATGTTAATGAGGATTGAATGAAGTGTAAAAATGAAAACTTGTAAAAGGTTTGTTTTAAGCCTTTTTACTCTGGTAATTATTATAGAAATCAGTGAAGCTGAACTATATTTATAAGCTTTTAGCGTTATTTTTATTATAGTTGTTCTGTGCCTACGTCTGAATGAAAATAGTCTGTGTTTGTGGGTGCATAAATATTGCATGAGAAGAAACGAAGTTGTAAGAAAAGTTTTGAAAATGGGTATTCCAATGTAAAGCACGTTGAGCTACTTTTTTTGAAAACTGAAAATGGGCTATATAAATGTTATATATTATTATCATTTAAAATTATTTATATTTTCTTTTTTCTTCAGCTGCACACCACAGACTTAAATGATGGGGCGGATTACAACCGCATCAACTTTCAGTCAGTTACAGAGCAGAACAATTTGGAAGAGTTTCTGACGACGGCTGAAATGGCCGGGAGAGATTTCACTGCCGGTAAGAAAACAAAAACAGCATTTATTTGTCAAAAGGGAAGCAAAGTTCCTGTCCCAAGCGAAGGACAAAATAATCACACCTGTTTCACACTTACTTGCCTCAAAACTATTTTGTCCTAAGTGTACTTAACTCTTTATCTCCTAAGGGGGTAAACCCACTATGCCGGGGCCATTTTTGGGTTCTAAATCGAAAAATGACAAAGATGTCATTAAACGGGTCGAAACTAGCAAACCTATTTTGATAGTTCTTCATCAAATGAATGAACTTCCGGTAAAAGAGACCTGTTTTCGGCAATTACCGAAAAGTAATTTGATGTCGAAGTGGTCGTAAAGGAATGTGCCCGAGCCGCTGAAGGCTCACCGGCACAGTGGTTCTCTCCGCAACTTGCCAGAGATAAAGAGTTAAATAAAGAGGACATTTTGGACAAAATAGTTTTTCTGAGACGACGGCTTAGGAAGTAGTTCTTGTTGAGGTGCGTGTGTGTTATATATTACCGTGGCTCTAAAGTTCTGAAACGAGTGTTGTCTGGATCTTCTGTCTGGATCTTCACCCCAAGTTTCCGTGCTCTCAAGGTTGTTTAATGATGAGGTTGTCGTAATCAAGAAAACGCAAAAAAAGCGCTTTTTCAGGGGTGAATAGATTAGGATAAAACTGTTGTTGAACCTGCTCTTATGGTCACCTGTCTATGACAAGCACCTGTGTGTACAGATGACCGCTTCCCACTTCTCCCCTTGCAGATTTTTTGCATTATAAAGACACTGTCTTCTAAGACAATCACTTAGCTCCTTGACAATAGGTGACCTTCTTGGACAATTTCAATTTTATTAAATCAGAAAAGAAGTCGAAAAAATATGGCAGTTAAAAGTATGCACCAAGCACCTTCTCCTTCTACGGGTTTCTGAGAACCTTTCATTGGTAAAATATTCAGTATTGTGTTACAAGTGCCGTAAAACTCTTGCTATTTATTAAACGAAAAAAACGCTTACTAATACAAAAAAGGGTCAACAACTGATAATTAATTAACAAAGCAATTGTCATATTTTGTTTGTTCTTCCAACAGAGCGACAGAACATACAGGTGATAAGCAACCCAGGCCAAGGCATCAAACTGACGGATGAAGACATGGTGAAGATTGCTGAAGCACAGACCACACACAAAGCTCTGCTACAGATTCCACGCAGGTAAGGAGAGTCGTCTTCTGGCTGAGGTAGGTTTTCAGTTAAGGAGTTAAGGAAGAGACAGGGATTTGGTCACGTTCATATGACCTTGTGCCGAATTGGAGTGTATAGAATAGAGGAGGTTAGGGTTAGGGGGTCAGGGTTTGGGATAGGGTCCAGGGTTAGGGTAAGGTCTCTTTTTTTATTGTGTTTGTTTGGGTGGTCGCTCTTTCGCAGAAGTCCTTCCAAAAGATGTGTGTTCAATTCTTGTTTTGGGAGAAACTTTATGTTAGTCTATTTGTCTGTATGTTGGGGTTTTGTATTCCACTCAGCCCTGGTTAATAAGCCGTGGCAAGGAGAGTTAATTTCAGAAGGGGAAAAAAATTGTTTCATTCTCTTGACTATTGTATGTCCACTTTAAATATATATATATATATACATATATTATACACATACTTTTGGTGCTTTTTTTTTTTCCATTGTTTTGAATATTTGCATTTTGAGCACATCCGTTGAATTCCAATACAACACTGCAATTTAAGAAAAATAACATTAGAAATGTAGGGTTCAGTATATTTGAACCACTGGCCGCCTTTATACCTACAACTTATTTTTTCTGCCCTCCCCCTTCCCCCTCGCTGTCCCCCCTCTCCCTGGTTGTGGCGTCCGGCAGACCTCACTGGGACGAGCTGACCACTAAGGAGGAGCTGATCATGATGGAGAGAGACTCGTTCACCGACTGGAGGAGACAGCTGAAGATGTAAGTCGTCTGTCGTAACATTGGGTACTGAACACACAGTGCTGCAACTGAAACAGAGACAGAGGGAGAGAGAGAGAGGGAGTGGGGAGAAAGAAAGAGGGGGAGAGAAACATAGAGAGAGAGAGAGTGTTTTACGGAGCGGGTGGTCATGTATTTACTAATGTCCTGTCTTGTTGTGAGTGCATGCGTGTGAGTGCACCTAACCTTTGTAACGTCTACTGCCATTGTTAACGACCAAGGCAAATTTCTCCCTGCGAGATGAATAAAGATTGTCATTGTCTTTTTCTGTGTATTCTACTGGGGTAATAACATAGATTGTGAAGCGCATAAAACTTGCTGTTGAGCGGAAATTTGTGCAATACAAATACAATAGTTATTATTATTATTATTATTATTATTGTTTTTATTATTATTATTTAGTTAAATGGGATGGACAATGGCTCTTATTATGATTTGGTTTTTCATAATCTGTTTGGTCTTTTTTCTTCATAGTCTGGTCTATGTGACAAATCTTGATCCATGCGTGGTTGGTGGGTGCACTTGTGTGGTTTACATTCCTTCTTTCCTTTCAAACATTCATCGTTCTTATTTCTCTTCCCTCTTTTCTTTGTGTATTACTCTTCAGTAAACTTCAGTTACACCTCTAACCGTGGGTGGTTGGTAGGTGCTCTGGTGTGGTTTACTCATCCTTTCCTTTCAAACGTTCATTTTTCTTATCTCTGTTCCTTCTTTTCTCTGTGTGTTACCTGTAACCTTAGGCACTTTTATTATCTATTTGTTACAAGTGCTGTAAAACTCTTACTAAAACTAAATCTTGAACCGTTGATGTTCCTTTTTTTTCTCAGACTTGAAGAGAAAGACCACATTCAGATGACGCCTTTTGAGAAGAACTTAGATTTCTGGAGACAGCTGTGGCGTGTCATTGAGAGAAGGTAAGGTGTTGGGGTAGTCAAAGTTATGTATAACAACTTCTTTTTGTGTTTGTTACTCTCTTGTAACCCCTTTAATCTTCAGCACGTATATGACCTTATTGTGTTGCAAGTGCCATAAAACTAAACAAAAAACTCTTGTAGCAGCCGGGACTTGGCTGGCCAGTGGGCTGTAGGGTGGTTAGTCACTACCTGCTGTGTGGTTGGGTGTTAACTGGAATGTTTTGTTTTGTTGTGTTGTTTCAGCGATGTCATCGTGCAGATTGTGGACGCCAGGAATCCGCTGCTGTTCCGATGTGAGGACCTGGAGGCCTACGTGAAGGAGGTGGACCCCGACAAGACCTGCATGCTGCTCATCAACAAGGCCGACTATCTCAACGCTAAACAAAGGTAGCTTTTTTCCTCTTTATCTATCTCTTTCCTCATAAACAACACCAAAACTGAGTTAAAAGTGCCTAAAACACATTCTCAGACAAACATACTTCATTAACAAGGCGGATTCTCTCAATGGTAAGCAAAGGGTAACTCTTTCCTATCAGCTTTTTTAACATTCTTTTTTATCCCCCTTTTTTTTGTTGTTGTCGTGTGTATCCTTTATTACTTTGGTTGTTTTGTCAAGTTGATTCCAGGTTTATTGCTTTGTCGTTTTATTAGAAATAAATGTGCTAATTCACAGGATTTTTTAAAAAATGATGGTACATTTAGACCAGAAATATTCCATGTTATTTCATTCATTTTATCCGTCTGGGCTATGAGATTAATTTTTCTTAGGTTCCTACTAGCTTTACTGCCTCAAAATTTTGCTCAAAATAATGCTTCTCATGTCATATCAGTGGGGAAGTTGTTGATTTTGGGTCAAATAATGAAATTTGAGTTGTGAATTGTTTACTGATTAGTGATGTGCACCCACTTCTGGGTCTAAAAAAGCACAGACAAAATTTCGATACCCACGTATTCATGTCATAAACTGCATCTGAAAGCATGAAAATCGTTGAACATTTAGCATATGATCTCAAGCAGTTGCGAGCGCCGTAAAAAACACTCCCCCCAAAAGACATTGCAGTAATAGCCATTTATGATGTCCTCTTTTTTCTTGTTCTCCAAGATATCATTTATCTGATTATGCTTTTTTTGTGTGTGACAGGCAACAGTGGGTGGAGTTTTTCAACAAGGAAGGAATCACAGCCGTGTTTTTCTCAGCCAAGACAGAAAAGGAAAAACAGGAGGTAGGAATTTTTTAAAAACTGACTTTGGGCCTCAAAGGCCACACAAACCGTTCAGAAAGGAAATTATAATAATCACAAGTATGCATATAAAACAGGAAATCTCTGCTACATGATTGTTGCTATATATCATATCGTGGCCGGTCGGCATCCCCTGGGGGCAAAGTGTTAATTGATATAGCTGTTATAGTAATTTTACTATTAATTAATTTTTGGTAAATTGATATGGCTGTGATAGTAATTGATTCGACCGTATCTCTACTTTTTTTGTGTGATGCGAAGGACTCGGTCCCATTTTTTTTTAGGTCAATGTTAGAATTAGGCCTGATACAGTTCTTGGGAGAAACAGCAAATAGTTGGAAATGGCTTGGCTGGCTTAAGGATTGTGTAAACAGATGCTGACTTGCGTGTATGAGTGAGAGTTTAAAAAAAAAGATAAATTACTTCAAATGTGAAGTTTTCCATTTCCTGCAATTTTGTCACATTGTAGATTTTACCAATAAGATCGGTCGAATAGTAAACTTTTCAAAACAAAAACATCTTTCATTTTTGGACTAAGTTGAATTTTTTAAAAACAATTTTTTGTCCTGTGGATGCAGGGATCGGCTGTAGTTCCTGAGAGAGAGAGAAGAATAGAGGAGGTAGACTATTACGATACAGAGGAGGAACTCTCTGAAGACGAAAGTGGCGATGATGAAGATGATGATGATGGCGATGTTGAGGTCGGCGAACCAGAATTTTCTTCCACGACAGTCGAAGCCCATGACACAGAGCAGATGGAAAAAGACACGGCAAAGTTGTCGTTAGATAGTGAAGAGCGAGGGGAGAGACTCTCCGGTCCCAACGACTGCGATGTATCGGAAGTGGATTCCACGAGGGCCGACAACCAGAAGTCAAATATTCCAGACTCGTCAAACTCGGACGGCACCGCTAATCTTTCGCAAAACGAGACGAGCAGTAAAACCGACGCTCCCGGCTCTGAGAGTCCGCTGGAATCTGACCAGAACGACTCCGCCTCCTGCCCTTGTCAGCCTAGCGCTAGCACCGGCGCTGTCCAAAACAGCACCAGCACCATCCAGAACAGCTCGGCCATCGTGACGGCTGAGGAGCTCCTGAATATCTTCCGCCACCTGGCTGGGCCGGCGTCGCGCAAAGGGTCGCGGGAAGTGCAGACGATCGGCATGGTGGGCTACCCCAACGTGGGCAAGAGCTCCACCATCAACGTCATCCTGGAGGAGAAAAAACTGGCCGTATCGGCCACGCCGGGCCGCACCAAGCATCTGCAGGTACGGTAATTATAGCAATCTCTCTCTCTTGCCCTGTTTAACTCCGAGCGAAGCCTGTTTTGTTCGTGGGTGGTTGGCGGGTGCTCTGGTGTGGTTTGCTTTTTCTTTACTATAAACCATCTTATCGTCTCTTTCTCCCCTCCTTCTTTTTTGTGTTTGTTACTCTCTTGTAATACGTCTAATCTTGTGGCGCTCATATGACCTTATGCAGTTGCGAGCATAGTAAAACCTCTACTAAAACTAACTCTTGCCCTTTTTAACTCCCAGTGGAGCATAGGCCATCAACATTTCTCCAGCGAAGCCTTTCCTGTGCATCCTTTTCTAGCTGTTTCCATGATGTCTTCGCCTTTTCCATCCGTCTATCATCATTTTCCTCTTCTTTTGTACGTTTGTCACACTCTTGTGACCCGCTATTTCCGGGGTGCCTTGATAGTTGAAGCAGACTTTGTGCTGTTGAAGCTAGAGAGGTGAGTAGAGTAAGTCTCATTCCCTGTAAGGACTTCTCTATTGACATCCACCCTTTGGTGCTCATATGACCTTATGCAGTTGCGAGCGCCATAAAACCTTACTAAAACATGTCCTCATATATGTTCCCCCACCAGACCCTCCACGTAGACACGTGCCTGGTGGTATGACTGTAGTACCATCCTATCTTATTGTCTCCTCCCCCCCACAGACCCTCCACGTAGACCCGTGCCTGGTGGTGTGACTGTAGTACCATCCTATCATATTGTTTCCTCGTATGTTCTCCTAGACCCTCCACGTAGACCCGTGCCTGGTACTGTGTGACTGTATTACCATCCTATCATATTGTTTCCTCGTATGTTCTCTCCCCCCC